GGGGGGGGTGTGGTTTGCAACGGGGAGAGAGAGAGGGAGGGAGAGAAAAATAGAATCTGCGTTTTTTTTTTCTGGGTTATTACAAAGTGAATGAAGACCTGTGTGTGATTGCATCAAGATCACAAATTTACAGAGAAAGGCATAAGGCATGTACCATAAATGAAGGTACATGTACAACACAGTTTGAGTCACTTTGGGATTATGCTAATCAGTTGAGGAATACAACTGAATGAAGCACAATTATTATCAAGTCTGAATTGGATGGTGAAAGGCAAAGATTTCAAAGGATCTACATTTGTCTGGCAGCTACAAAGAAGGGGTTTCTTGAGGGTTGTATACCTGTGATAGGGTTTGATGCTTGTCACATAAAAGAGCCTCACCCTGACCAATTACTCAGTGTGGTTGGTGTTGATCCTAACATTGGGATGTACCTTATTGCATATGCAATGGCAGAGGTTATGGAGGTGTTTATGGAGCTTTTGGCATAGGATTTGTCTATTCAAAATAGCAACTCCTATGTTTTCATTACTGATAGGCAGAAGGGACTCATTGATGCAGTAGCTGACATGTTTCCAAATTCTGAGCATAGGTATTGTCTTAAACATCTTCATGCTAACTTTTTGCTTGCTGGGCGAAAATGACTTGTGCTCAAACATCACATGGAGGCTATTGCAAGAAGCACAACAATTTCTTGGTATCAAGCTGAGATGAAAAGGCATAGATGTGTCAGGTGCTGCATTAATTTGATTGGCTTGCGAAGTTAGATCCACAAGCATGGTGTAGATCTCACTTCAAAACTACCTCCAAATGTAATATCTTGCTCAATAACATGTGTGAGGCATTCAATAGTACAATCGTTAATGCAAGAGACAAGCCAATTTTGACATGTCTTGAGAGAATAAGGTACTATATCATGTTATTAAAGGCAAGTAGAAGAGCAGCTTCTGAGAAATGGCACCATGATGTAGGACCACGGATTTTCAATATAGTTGAGAAGCGTAAGAAGGAATCAGCCTAGTGCATTCCAAAGCTTGCTGGGGAACAAACATATGAAGTCAAAAACTTCGGTGGAAGTCAAGTGGTGGTTCATTTTAGAAGAAGCACTTGTTCATGCAAACAATGTGATATCACCGGGATTCCTTGTAAGCATGCTTGAGCTGCAATTGGGCAATTGAATGGAGATCACCTTGCCTATGTGAATGCTTATTACAAGAAGGAGGCCCTTGTTAGAGCATATGCAGAAATGGTGCATCCCATGGCAAGCCAAGATCTATCGCCTAAGTGTAACTTGGCACCTTTACTGCTACCTAAGTACCATAATCAGCCAGGGAGGCTAAGGAAAAAGAGGATCAGGTCAGTAGCTGAACCACCCCCAACCTCTAATCCTAATGCAACAAAACTACCAAGGTATAATATGGAAATCAAGTTTTCAATATGCAACCAAGCTGGACATAATAGGAGGAGATGTCCCAAGGCAAAGGAAGGACAATTTGGTAGTTAGGTATTTCTCACCTATGCTTGTTTATTGATTTGGACTTTATTTAAGTGTGATTCATGATGTGCAATATATATGCTGGTTAGGTCTCTTAAAAAAAAAAAAAAAGAAAGAACAACCAAGCACATCACATCAAAGTACTACAAGACAATCAAAGGGGAAGGAACCTATAAGCATTTATTTGTGTGAATGCTTGTTTCTAAAACTGCCTATGTCAATGCTTGTTTTTAAAACTACCTATCTGAATGCTTGTTTCTAAAACTGCCTATGTTAATGCTTGTTTCAGATCATAAAAAACTCCTAAAAAAAGACTATGACTCATTCTCAGCAAGCTTCTCAGTCTCGGCAAGCTTCACAGTCTTAGACAACTAAACCACCAAACCTCAGAGAAAAAGGTTTAAGTCACCAGCAAAAAGGAAGGCTTTTTTTGGAAAGGAAGAAAACGTTGGACAAATATGCAGTTTGGAGATACTGAGACAGTTGGGAATAGAAGGAATGAAATTGGCATGTATTTTGAAGACTGTTTGAACTTGTATTTTGAAGATTGTTTGAACTTGTATTTTGAAGTTAATTTGGGATTCCAATGTTGGAGAAATTATACAGTGATACGGTACTACCACGTGGCAGTGCCAGGTGGTAGTACGAACTAATAGAATAATGACATCTGGCACAGCTGTTATTAGAGAGAGCGAGCGCTTTCATCTAGTACGAATGTTAACGCCATTTACTCTCTTCCTCTTTTTTTTTTTTGTTTCTTTCAAAGCAAAGAATAGATAAACCCTGGTGAAATTGGAGTCTGCGCCACTTTTCAAAGAAAAAGAACACCTTTTTCAGCCACAAAACTATGGATCTCCTCTTTTTCTTACGATCTCTGCTGATTTTGTTTCCCGATTTTTGCCCCTTTAGAAGTGATATGATACCGACATTTTGAGACCCACCAACTTCTTCTGATAAATAAGAGTATGTATTTTTTGTCCTTATTCCTGCATCCACCCTGATTTTAATCACACCTAAATGCGCTTCTGACACTTTTCTATTTGATCTCAAAAATTGCCTCGCTTCCGGCATAGCAAGTTCATGGTTATGTTCAGAAACAAAATGAGAAACTTTCCACATACCATTGTCATCTTGGAAGGCAAATCAAATGCCAGCTCCGCAACCTGTTCTTGTCTCTAATTTGTTAGCCCTGCTCACTTCTAAAGGGTCACTATCTAGTCGAAAACTTTCTTTTGAACAAAAATAACTAAATTGCCGCAAAACTTTTTTTGTATTATATCTCTCTTGTCCCCTTCAAACACTAAATCCAGTTCTCGTAGCATAACTGTTGTAGAGATTATAAGCTTCCTCTTCAGTGGACACAACTTTTCCAAGCAAATTTTCTTTGAAACTTTTCATACGATTGACTGTTCGGTTCATTTTTACACATGATTTTTCATGTTATTCACCCACTATTTTGAGTTAGTTCTTGACATTTTATAGCTTTTTACTTCCTTTTTGTGTTTTCTTAGATTTTACCTTGGTTGGGATGAAAATGAGCTAAAAGTGCATTATTAGTTATAAATTCTGTTTTTGTTCATTTTCGTAGGTCAACTTCTTGGCCTGGGATCAACATGCTCTGGTGCTCGGATGAGGTCATGATCTTCATGAGACTTGTTCCAATGGATGTTAACTACAACATATCCAAATTTGAGCTCCATTGG